CAACGCAAGCGTGCAAATTTCGACAAAGTCATATGTTATGCAATTCAAAATCAAACAAAAGCAAAAATTGCATCATTTAAATTGGTTATAATTTATTTTTAAAAATAATGCTTTTGATTTGTAGTACTGTAGTTTTGTTTACTTGACTTTTACAATACTTTCATGATGTATTCAGACTTTTGGGAAGGCAATCAATTCTTTTGACTCGCTATAAAACGTTTCGTTTATTTTTCAAATGTCTTCAATAATTTCGAGTAAAGAAACCTATTAAGTATGATTTGTTACTGACAGGATCGTTGTGTTAAATGTGATTTATTTCCCACTCCTCTTAAACGCAAAAAATCAAATCTTTGTATTATAGAAAGCTCAAAATACAATAGGATATACATACAAATATGGTATGGTTTCCTTAACTCTATTGATATTTATCTTTACATATACATTTTGTTCTACAATTTATTGTCTTAAGTCACGTGGGTATAAATGTGCACAACAAAATAAATAACAACTGCTCCTTTGGGTGTTTAATAACAATTTTAATTTTTCTTATAATGCTTTTTCTTTGGTATTTCTAGGATTTTTTATGCGTATAGAAATTGAGCCTATTATAAGAAATCACTTAATGCCTTAATTCAGGGAAGGGAAAATCACTACATACTGTTGTACTACCTTGAGTACTGTGACATCGAAAAATGGAACTAAGGTGATTCTTGATAATAATAGATAATATACTAGTTTAAAGACTAGTCATTGGAACAGTCCAACAACTTATTAGTTCAAAAACTAGTCATTGGACTAGTCTAAAAACTAGTCCAAAGACAGGTCAGTAGACTGCTCCACAGACAACAAGTCAGAAGAATAATCCATTCACTAAGTAGATAGTTCCACGGAACAGGACCATAAACTGGTTAATAGACTAGTTCATTAACTAGTCACTACAATAGTATATTGATTATTTAATAGACTGATTAATATACTAATCCATAGGTTAGTCAATGAACCAGTTAATAGACTACTAAATAAGCTTGTTAATAGTGTACTAAACTTAATAAAAACAAAATTCCTTTGTTACTTTGAAAATTATTTTACATCGGTATAGCGTATCGTATAATTGACCTTGATACTTAATTTTAATTTAAAATTTCTTTCTCATTTTACTACAAATAGTTCACATTGAACTGGCAGCCTAAATTGGTGGCTATTATCTTATTAAGTTATGCATAATATTTCATTCAGTTTGCCTTTTCATTTTGTATCGGTAAGATAATCAATCATTGAATTTTACATTAAATAATTTCCGCTCAAATGTCCGTTACATTTTTGTATTTATTCATTTGTTCATTTAAATTTTCACATTATAATTATAATAAAATATGTTGAATGTTTTACAGGCCACCCAGGACAAGGAAAGAAATTTTTGTACTAAAAAATAATAAAAATTGAATAAAAATTTTACAAAAATTTAGCACTTCATTTAGCAGTTCATAGGTTGTCTCGAATTTTTACTCATATCTTCGAAATTTATGGACGGACAAATAAGAAACTTTTTGAAAGCATGTCTGATAGAATTGTTGAAAATTTGGCTTAATCGATTCCGATATCTAAAAGGATACAGAATATAAATACTTTATAGTGTCGAAAAATTTTATTGTGAAGATTACAAACGGAATGACAAACTTAAGACAAACTAAAAATATTAACCAAAGAACCCATTTATAACACTCTGCCTATACTCTGATCTAAATTAAACAATATTCAAATATATAATTTGCCCTCCTCTTGGCAATTAAACATTTACAATTTGAAATAAATACTAAAACCTGATTGCTTCGCATTACTTACATCACTGCTTACAGTTCCCTCAGTGTATTTACATTTTACATTAATTGTTATGGCAACCAACCACATTATCTTAATTTTGTTTTTAATTTATATTGAGTAATTGATATTTGTGTTTACGCGTCCATCTATATAAAATTATATAGAATATATTAATCACAACTGTATAACCGATACAGGAAAATATTCATAAACTGATATAGTTTTATATAAATATGTCTGTGTGATATGGTATGTATGCATAACAGTTTAAATGAATTAATGAATGCAAATATAGATGGTCATAATTATAATTATATGTATCTGCTATTGCTACTGAATGTATTTGGTGGAAAAAATTATGCAAAAAATAAAATATAAATAAAAAATATTTTATCCTTCATAATGAATGTAAAATTAATAAGGGAAAATACAAAACTTAAATTTAACTTCAATTTTACATTAAAAAAGTATTTATATCTGAAAAATTGAATTTAAGATTTTATAATAACACTTCCTTAGACGATGTCCATCACCAATATATGTATTTGAAAATCATATTACATTTGAAGGGCTTATTGCAGTAACTCGATATGCCACAAAAATAAAATTTTGAGTAAATCGACATTAAAGTTTAAAAAAATTCTCAAAAAATTTTTTTTTTTTAATTTGTACTTTTAACACACCTAATAATCATATAAGGTCGATAACTATCGTATGCCAATAGATGGATATCATAAATAAAGTGGAAACCACTGTTTTAGCAAAAAATTGTGGCTTATCAAGTTATTGCCTAACAATATTTGAAAATTTTTTATTTTCAAAAAACAAGTTCTAGTACATTTTCAAAGTGGCTTATCATGTTCTTGCTACAAAAAAAATTTATAAATTTTATTTTCAATATGAAATTTATATTTTTAGTTACTTTTTTATATGAGAATAAATTTGGCTAAATATACTTAGCTAAATTATTCTGCAGTAAAAGGCGGGTCCTGTGGTTTGATTCTATTTTAAATAGAATGACAAAACACATTGTTTTGGGTTTTGCGCTGAATATTCAGATTAAAATTTGAGATAATATTGCGTTTATTCAGCATAGTTGATTTTCTGCTTCTTGATCATCATTTTAAATATCTGAACCAATTTCGAAGCATGTTGTGTCAGAAGTCTTGCACGGATTTTAGAAATTTCAAGTCCATTGTTCAAAAGAGGTTTCGATATGCACTTTATATAACAGGCGTTATAATATTATGCGTTTTGTATATGCTGATGATTCTGATATGTTTTACAAAGATTATAGGATATGCTGCAATGTCTTTGCTAAATTGGTATGATAAATATGACTTTATATTATGCAAATAGTTTGAACATTAAATAATATATTTCCACGAAATGATGTTTTGCAATCGAAAATTTTCCAATCAGCAAGAACTTGGTAAGCAACATAATTACATATGAAATTTTTTTTTCAAATTGTTTAAATGTAAAAGAGGCATGACCCTTATATCGCCAATTTACCATAATACGCTAAAAATCTTTTTAGGGACATTAGATATGGTTCCTAGCAACTCAAAAAGCACATAAAATCGAATTGTGATGGTTGGTGGCATATCGAGTTACTGCAATAAGCCCTTCATTTGATAGAACATATTCCTAAACAATTATTATTTTATATTATTTCCAATGAAAAATCTGAATATATATTTATCACCAATTGTTTCGTACAATCATTAAAAGTACAAATATTTGCTGTGTAATAAATAAATTACATTGTATTACATTTAGCAAAGCCAAATAATGAATGATGCAATTAAATGATTATTTGTATTTACCGCTTTTTAATTACATTAATAGATTTTATTCTATTTTTATTCAATGACTTTTTTTTGGCGTTGTCATTGTTGTCGCCATTGATTTAAATGTACGACAGTCATGTTACAATTAAATAAATCAATTCAGATATGTGTGCTCGTTTAAAATGTTTATTCATTTCTGTGTTTCTAAATAATTTGATCAACAATTATCCAATTCAATTAATTCCAGTTGTTATTGCTACACAAGTTGTCATGCATTTGATTGGTGAACTGTGTATCCACGAATAACTGCCCATTTCTAATTTTACACTTTGTTAAATAATGAGTAGGATGGCAGTAATGGGAAACAGGCATATTATTTAAATGTGGTTTTCATAATATAAGTATACAACATACTGTGGTTAACAAAGCTCTAATGGGCCTACATTAAAACACTCACCCATTTTCCATTATATCAAATTGCGTCGCATTTTCTAGAAAATACTTACATTAAATTGAAATAAATAGTATATATTTAAATCTACTTAATTTATATTACTCACATTCATATTGCGAACATTAAAACAGACGATGTAGATGTTGTGGTTTCTAGTTTGTAGCAATTGACCTGCTTTTTTTCTAATAAAGAAAATGGTTATAATGTTTGTTACAGCCACTGCAAAGATATTGAATTGACCACTAATATAAAATTATTGTAATGGTAATTTTTGATAATTAAACTATTGGATGTATAGCATAAAAATCCAGTATTTTTTTAAACTTCTTAACCCTCCGTCATGCGCATGTATCTGGCCAGATATTTTACGAATTTAACTGTGATTTTAATATATTTCTAATTTGGTTAGGGGGTTGAGTCTCCAGGTACCCTCTACAAATATTGTTAGATATCGTTTTATGAAAAAACACATTAAAAAAAACAACAACAAACTAAATTTATGTGGATTTTTCATCTATACATCGTATACATAGCGCATGTATCTGGCCAGATACACACACATTTTGTATGAAAAGTACCGTTATTTTTATTTTTTCTCTGCGTTTGTTGGTACCATTCGCTCCAATAAAACATGTATTCCTAAAGAAATGAAAAAGGATCGTTCTCGTCCTATTTTATCATCGTTATTTGGATTCAACGAAAATTTGGTATCAATTTGCAGTTACGTGCCAAAAAATAAATGTGTGAACCTACTTTCGACCGTTCATTATACGAAAAATTGTGAAGGGGAAGCTATGAAACCCGAAGCAATTTTGTTTTACAATGAAAATAAAGCTGGCGTAGATTGTATGGACCAAATGGTTATACATTTTACTACAAAGCGGTCAACAAGGCGATGGACTTTTGCGTTTTTCTGCAACATGTTGGACACCATGGCACTGGCTGCATTTTGTATTTGCAAAGAGATTGATGGTCTCAATAAAAATGGTGCTAGAAGAGATTTTCTCACTACGTTAGCTGATACATTGGTTCCTCCAAATATTGAAAACCGAATGAAGAACCCTCACATCATCAAACAGTTCAACACTCGTTTGGCAATGAAATCGTATTTTGGAAGACCACTAAATGTAAGTTTGATTGATTTGCCCTTCATTACATCTCATTTTCCTCATTTTTCTTTTTCATTTCAGCCTCCAGTAGTAGTTCCTAGCTCAAGTGGTGCTGATACTCTGCTAAAGAGAAAAAGTTGTAAGCTCTGTACATTGGGAGATGAAAAAATTCGACGACTAACTCGTTTTTTTTGTTCCAAGTGCTCGAATCCGGTATGCCTACAACATTCGAAATCAGAGTATATATGTTTTAGTTGCTTACCTGAAGCTGTGTAAGACTTTTTTTAATTTAGAATTAATTAAAACTTACTTTATAACTACTAAATGTAATTGAAATGAACTTTATAACAACTATTTTTTTGAAATTAAATACAAAAATAAAATTTTTCTTGTTTTATTTCTCATAAAATTTTTTTTACACGGATAGGTGGTTTAGCATGTACTAAGAACAAAAAAAAATAGAAAATATATATCTGCCTGGCGTGATAACAATATAACAATGTAATATTGTTACTAAAATGGCATATTTTTCATATAAATGTACTGAAATACATAGTGTATCTCTGATGCGCTACGTACGTGACTATCGGAACATGTGCATGACGGAGGGTTAAAATATTGATGAACTATGAACTTTTTCCATCTTTCTGACGACATATTAATTCCGCATTAAAAGAACTGTTCATCTTTTGAGGCTAAAAACGAATCAAGTTATTTTTGGTTATCCTGTTATAAAGCGAAGGATTGTATTTTAATTTATATCTGATATTTTATGTACGTATGATTAATATTCAATACATGCATAATTAAGTATTAATCATACGTTCCCTTTACACATATTATTTATGTTTTACTGCATGTTATCCAGTTTAGTTGCGGAAATGGGGGTATTTAATAATATTCTTTTTAGATGCTTCACATATTTTGGCTTACCTAACCAAACCCTAGTTAGTTAGTTAGTTAGTTAGTTAGTTAGTTAGTTAGTTAGTTAGTTAGTTAGTTAGTTAGTAGTTTAGTTAGTTAGTTAGTTTAGTTAGTTTAGTTAGTTAGTAGTTAGTTAGTTAGTTAGTTAGTAGTTAAGTTAGTTAGTTAGTTAGTTAGTGTTAGTTAGTTTAGTTAGTTAGTAGTTAGTTAGTTAGTTAGTTAGTTAGTTAGTAGTAGTTAGTTAGTAGTTAGTTAGTTAGTTGTTAGTTAGTAGTTAGTTAGTTAGTTAGTTAGTAGTTAGTTAGTTAGTTAGTTAGTTATAGTTAGTTAGTTAGTTAGTTAGTTAGTTAGTTAGTAGTTTAGTTAGTTAGTTAGTTAGTTAGTTAGTTAGTTAGTTAGTTAGTTAGTTAGTTAGTTAGTTAGGTTAGTTAGTTAGTTAGTAGTTAGGTAGTTAGTTAGTAGTTAGTAGTTAGTTAGTTAGTTAGTTAGTAGTTTAGTTAGTTAGTTAGTTAGTTAGTTAGTTAGTTAGTTAGTTAGTTAGTTAGTTAGTTAGTTAGTTAGTTAGTTCGTTAGTTAGTTAGTTAGTTAGTTAGTTAGTAGTTAGTAGTTAGTTAGTTAGTTAGTTAGTTTAGTTAGTTAGTTAGTTAGTTAGTTAGTTAGTTAGTTAGTTAGTAGTTAGTTAGTTAGTTAGTTAGTTGTTAGTTAGTTAGTTAGTAGTTAGTTAGTTAGTTAGTTAGTTAGTTAGTTAGTTAGTTAGTTAGTTAGTTAGTTAGTTAGTTAGTAGTTAGTTAGTTAGTAGTTAGTTAGTTAGTTAGTTAGTTAGTTAGTTAGTTAGTTAGTAGTTAGTAGTTAGTTAGTAGTTAGTTAGTTAGTTAGTTAGTTAGTTAGTTAGTTAGTTAGTTAGTTAGTTAGTTAGTTAGTTAGTTAGTAGTTAGTTAGTTAGTTAGTTAGTTAGTAGTTAGTTAGTTAGTTAGTTAGTTAGTTAGTTAGTTAGTTAGGTAGTTAGTTAGTTAGTTAGTTAGTTAGTTAGTTAGTTAGTTAGTTAGTTAGTTAGTTAGTTAGTTAGTTAGTTAGTTAGTTAGTTAGTTAGTTAGTTAGTAGTTAGTTAGTAGTTAGTAGTTAGTTAGTTAGTTAGTTAGTTAGTTAGTTAGTTAGTTAGTTAGTAGTTAGTTAGTCAGTTAGTTAGTTAGTTAGTTAGTTCAAATAATATATTACGTGTTAATACCTGTTTTTATTTTTCATTTATTTATTATTCTTCTTTCTTTGCTTCAATTACATTTCCAGTAAATTTATGTTCACTTAACTCCATTGCTTGACATTTTCTTGTAGTCCTTCTGTTTAAATTGATAAATGTCCTGCAATACAGAATAATGCGCTGCGGTAGCAGTAGGACAGCAGCAGATCTATGGGTGAGTTACTATTTACAATTGTTAAACATAAATATCAGTGGAATGAAAACAGAAAAGCTTGATTAATAACTGTCATTGTAATCGAAACAATGAATAAGTTTTTTTTAATATTTGATTTACCTTGTTGTTTTGTATGATTTAGAGCTTTTCGTTGCGACATTTGTAAGTCTTTATAATGTTTTGAGAAACTCTTAGTACAGTTACCAATGAGCAACTTATATAAAACAAATCTAAATATTTTAAAAGTTTTTTTTTTTCATTTTTTTTTTTTTTTTTTTAAACCACTTGTTTATACAATTTCAATCATTTAATTTCATATCCTTATTGGGGTCATTAACATTTGTTTTGAAATGGACAGGCAAACTTGTTTTTTAATAAATTGTTATCTTTTTCTATCTAATCTGTGTATAAAAATAAAAAAAATACTAAACATTTTATTTAGAAGCTTTATATTTTACTTGATATATTGCAAATTTAATGCTGTTTATATGGAAACCCTAATATTTTTATACCATGACCAACTTTATTTCTTTACTTATTTTCACTAAATTAATTTCTTTCTCAACTTATCATCAAATATTTCATAAAAATGTAATTCCTAATAAATTTATTACCATGATTTATTTAACAAGAAGTTGTTGACATAAAAGTGTTTTTTTACAATATTGTTTAATTTGTTGGTCAAAATGATTTAAGTTGTCAAGATCATACAAATAAAAAAACAAACGTACGTACAACATTGTATAATTGTTGTAAATATTAAGTAAATGAAAGATGTTTCTTTATAACATTTTACAACAAGTACAAGTACTTGTTTTAATAGATTTATTTTATTCAGTTTCTCTAGCAATTTTTTATCTTTCTACTTTTTTCTTACAACTTTTGTCAAATAAATCCTGCACTTATTCTAAGAGCAGTTTTAATAGTGTCAGTAGTCACTCTGAAAGTCTTATGGTCATTGATTCATTTCATTTTGTTTTTGTTGTTTTCGTATTGCAGGAAACAATTTAATTTGTTGTTGTCATCCATATATTTGCATGTGTTGACATATAAAAAGCAATAAATTTAAGTTGTTATTTACTTTATTCTCTACTATTGCACTGCACTAGTTTACACTAGGTTTAGTTTCTTCTTTTATGTTTCTTACTCATCCTACCATACACAAATACACATACATTGTATGTGTTTGAGTATGTGTCTCCTTGCACTCAAATTCAATTGAGTTTTATTATCATTTATTCACACTTTGAAGAGTATGGATGGACGTAAACAACAACAACAACAATAACAAAATCATTCATCTAAAGACAAAGAAAAATACAGTGTGACATGAAATGCTAAAGCAAAAAGAAATTTCAAAAAACTAAAAACAACAACAACAGGCCAAAGAAAATAGTAAAAGTTAAGAAATGGTTGTTATTTTATTGTAAGTGGAGTTTGGTCAAGAGAACAGTAAAATGAAATATTATTCCCCACTACTCAAACCTAATATTCACAAGTTTGTGTTAATGTGTGTTATTTGCTTTGTAATATAAGTAATGGCACAACATTGACAGTTCGACAGACGTATATTTCTTTTCTTTTCTTCAAAAGCATAGACGATCTGACAAATGACAGTTTTTTACTTCATCTTCTCTTTTGTTCTCTTCTATTTTGCTTTTCATTTCAAAATGTCCCTTGTAGCAAAATATTTGTATATAAAATCAACTTAAATTTAATGGTGTAATAAATCAATGAAGGAAATCATTTTAAATAAATATTTGAAATTGAAAATTTCATTTAAAAAGAAAACAAGTTAGAGTGCTAAATTCGGCTGAGCCGAATCTTAAATACCCTCCACCAGCTACTTTTATATTAAGTCTTTTCTAATTGGTCAAATATTTGTAGAAATAAGTTATCTCATGTCTTAAATTGAAAAATCCCAAGATTTAAACAGCTTAAACCTATTACAATTCCAAGATTTATTGAACATTACAAACGCAATTTTCTTTATATTGTTATAGCGCTTAGCGATATTTAGTAATTTGCATGTATGTATATGTATGAAAAATTAAAGGATTTTCAAAATACATATATATATATAATCTACACAAATTGATAATGCAACTAGTTAAATACGGTTAAATTTTTGTACATAAAAGCTATATTTCAGTAAAATTTTGTATCTATATCGTAATTTAGTAATAAGTAATGTGTGTTTAAGTGATTTTCGGAAGGGAACCTTGTATGGGACCGACCGCACCCATGTTATGAGCCGATCGTGAGAAATCTTGAAATAGAATTTTTGTATACAAAACTAATATTTGTGGCAAATTTTGTATCAATAGCTTTATTTGGTAATGAGTAATGTGCGTTTAAGAGATTTTCGTAAAAGGACCTTGTATGAGAGCTATGACGAATTATATATAAAGACAAAATTTAAAAATTCTGTATCTATATCATTATTTGGTAATGAATATTGTGCATTTAAGTGATTTTCTGGAGGGGACCTAGTATGAGAGCTATGACCAAATATGGACCGATCGTAAAACAATTTTATAGTGTAATTTATGTGTATAAGAGCAATAATTTTGCTAAATGTATGGATATCAATATTTGGTAATGAATTATGTGGGTTTAAGTGATTTTCGGGAGGGAACCTTGTATGGGAGCTATGACCAAGGTTGGACTAATCGTGAAAAAATTTTGAAATAACATTTATGTGTACAAAAATAGTATTAATGCCAAATATTTTATGGGTATCACTATTTGCTAATGAGTTATGTGCCTTTAAGTGTTTTCTGAAAGGCACCTTATTAGCAGCTATGATCAATTATGGACCGATAGGAAAACAATTTCAAAGTAATATTTCTCTGTATATAAGCAATACTTCTGCCAAACTTTATAGTTAGTAATGAGTTATGAGCGTTTAAGTGATTTTCGGGAGGGGACCTTGTATGGGAG